TAAAGGCACAACAACGCAACAGTCGGCCAGCGGGAGAATGGCTATTAAAAAGCGGCCCGGCCCAAGATAGACATGGTCGGCTACAGTGGCAGACATAACAAATTACGCCATTTCGACAGGCGGTTCGAAACAGAAGCTCAGCGCTGCCAAATGGGCTTTTTTTATAGCTACATTTTTTGTCGAAAGCAAATATGTTTATCTCAATTTTAGATTACAATATGTTTTAGCTTCCTAAAGTGTTATATATTTTTAAACTATTTATTCTTAAACAATAATCCTAGTATTGAAAGGATACTAAAATTGCAAATACATTTTTTTAAAGAGTAAAATTTATATAAAGATATTCTTAAAAATAAGATCGAGCTATATTATGACAATAGAGAAAGTATTAATCATCGAAAAAAATCTGCTTAGAGATCTTTTGTTCTCTGCAAAACTAGTATTTCTACAATAGCTTGGTATGATCTATTTACTTAGCTCTAAAAATAGCTACCTTTTGTAATCTAGAATCGCCAGCACTGGACTGGAATTATGACCGGTGGTTCGATGGTCGGTGTTCAGTTTCAATTGTGCCGGCAAACGTGACTCCAAATTGGCTGCCGGCGAATAATTCATACGAAACACTTTCGCACCGTGCGCCTTGCCATTAGCATCGCAGTGGCCCCCAACCACTGGGCCACCCCCAAAACCACCCAAAATCCACCTACCACCCCAATTTTCGAACCACACGGAACTCCATGCCATGGCCCATGTAACCCCACGATTGCATTTACAGCAAATTATTTATGGCTGCGACAGACACGGAACAGGAAGCGAGTATGCGCTGCCAACTTCACGTCCATCAATATTTTATGAAACCCTGTCTGCAGGACGCTCCGCGATGCTCGCAGCCGCAGAATTGGATGGGGATGGGTTGGATGGTCGGAGTGGGTTGGCTGGCGAGTCCTCGGAACAGGACGAGGCTATCTGCTTACATGGCTGCGTTCTGCCTCCTGCCGGCTGCCTGCCTGTCGATATCCGGTTAGATGAGTATCTAAATTGCCTTTACTGTTGATGAATTAGCGCCGGCTGCCAGCCGCTTCTCTATGGACTGGAATACGGAGGAACGGCAGTGCAAGTGCCTGCGTGGCGCAGATAAGCTTCCTCCGATGGGTGCAAATTTCAATTTGTTCTGAATGATTTTGCGCTCATCAAATAGGCCGGCAATCTAGGAAGACAGCACCACAACCTTGCTGCCAAGGAACCGAAGCGAAAGCAGAAAGGTGGGGCAATCGATCGAGAGGAGGTGGAAATGAAGCTCAAATATTTCATATAATTAGCCCCATTATCGCACAAATGAAAAACCAAGGGGTGTAGCTCAGCTCACTTCTAGCTTTCGATGGTATTGATTTGAAGCTGCCGAGTATAAAAGTGAAACTCACATGGGCTTTTTCTTAGTAATTTTGAAAGTATGATATTGGAACTATACTTCATCTGGTATACTTTTAACTCAAAGGGATTTCAGTTATTTCTAAGTAAATTGCAATAGCAAAAATACTTTTTGATGGATTAGATTTTTTAGAAAACATAATGTAACCAATTTAAAATATTAGTTATTCTACGATATTTAAAAATTCTCCACTTGTGAAATATACAAAAAAAAATGTGTTTGCATTCCGTTTAAAAAACAATCACTGGGCGTTCTTTGAGTATAACATCAGTTACTGTTGCTGTACTATTAAATTACCAGTTTGAGGTCCATTATGTTTCTCTCCCGAAAGGAAATCGTATCGCTTTTGCTCCTCCTAACGGCGGTTAGTTGCACCTGAGTACGAACATCTAACCTTGTGACCTCTCCCCAAGTTCCATAGATCATCAGTGTGCTGAACGCGTCGCTCTTTGCGAATATCCTGCCACTCCACGTCAGTTATGAGCAGGTGGGCCTGCAGGTTGTCTGCGTGGGAACCGCCTATATCTGCCTGATTTACGCATTCAGCACCTGGCTGTACCACTCGAATTACTCCAGGACTCGTCTGCACATGCGAATTGTGGTGGGTTGTCTTATCTGCAGGATGGCAGTCCCGTCAAAGAATTTATAAGAGTATATCCTTTTCTTACAGCTGGTGGCCATGATTGTATTGATGGTGGTGTTTAACGGCGCAGCATGCTATTGGTTTTTAATAGAAGTGTCCTTTACGAAACTCGAGGAATCGATGCAACTGTTCTTGCTGTTCAGCAGATTTTCGGTGACCTCCAAATCGGTCAGTTTGGCCATGTCGATCATCTGCATTCTCCTTCTAATCGTGATCATGGTGCTGCTCATCGTGACCATCATTCAGTCGATAAGAAGACGCAAAAACAAAGAAACCAATGATAATATCGAGCTGCAGCAGGGAAGGAATTACGCAAACGCGTGGGATGAGCATTAAGTTTGGTTTTCATGCAACGCCAAACATTTCATGTCGCTGCAATGTGGCGCCGCAGTTGCAATAATATAAATATTATACTCCCACGTCGTTTGGCACAGACAGACACGAACTGCTCACCTCCTTTATGTTTTCACCCATGACACACAGATTCTGTCTGTGTGCTTTCTTCGCAGGTGATATAAAAAATATATAAAGGAGCAGAGGTTCTCGCCTTCAAAGGTCGCAGTACGAATGCACTCACGGCAGGAAAAACAAAGGATCAAAAATATTATAAAATATTTTTATATTTTGTAGTTTAAAATATTGCAAATGTTGAAGTGTTTTAAATAATAATTGTGGCAATGTCTTTGTAAATTCTTCAGATATATATTTATAAGCGAAAGGCTAGGGATATGCTCAGTTCTAAGAGTAAAGGTTATAAAAATGTGAATGTTTCTCAAGCAAAGAGTGTAAAAATTCCATCAGACTGGTGCCGCAGATGTGTGAGTGCTTCTGAGCCGAAAAAAAAATAAGGATCCCAGGATATTTCCGAGCTGTGAGACTCATAAGGAAGACAAGCAGAGTGTGTACTATTGCATTTTGCATAATGAAACAGGCAGACAGTGCAATTTTCAGCGGCAGACAAACGAAGTTAAACAACAACTTAAAGGCTTGCCAGTAACTTACCGAGCGTAAAAGTTTAAGTTGGCTTTTCAAGTCAAGAAAGGAAATGGGGGCGTTTTTAAAGGGGTTGGTTGTTAGGGGACGTGGTAGCCTAATTACGCTCCAATGGCTGCCCATCAAAAGTGACAGTTGGCAAGGCAGGGGCTTACAATAAAATTTCCAGTTAAGTTATTGCCGCGCCGCTGCCAAAAGCTACGCAGAATATACTCAGTTAAAAGTAATTCCAAATTTAATTGCGCACAATTTAGAATGGCGAAATGTTGGCGTGCGTTTAATTAACTGAAAAATAACATAAAAAGCAAAGCGAAAACAAAACGAAAACAAAGCCGAGTGACAGACGCCAGCGGAAAGCGGCGCCAGTGGAAATGCTTAATGTTAAATGCCAACTAATTAAATTTCGGGCATGCCACTGGAATGGGCGAAGTCTACTCGAGTTGAACTGCTGAATTTATTGTTGCATTTAATGGCCAGCGCAGGCGGTTGTCCCATCCGCTTTTGGCCACCGCCACTCGCCTTTACCACTTTTCATTGCGTATACGCAACGGAGTCCCGCCACCGCGTATACGCAGTGTATGACGGGCCATGCAAATGGCCAAGCCAAAGGGATTCGCTTTGCGGACGGGGATATAGGATGCCAAATGAGGCAGAACCACAGGCATTGCGATTGTAATTCCGATTCCGATTGGGCAAACGTCAGTTGTGCTGCGGTCCGTCGCCAAATGAAGCCAATAAAACGGCCTTGTTTGCACGCAAACGTGCGAAAGTGATTCATGTAAACTGATAAAAATTTAATCATATTTCACGTATTAACACGTAATTATTAATGCCTGATAAATGTCGGCAGTTGGTAAAATGTGAAAAAGTCGCAATTAATATGCATTACTTCCCCCTAGTTGTCAATTCACTGGTCAAATTAAATGTGGCACGACCGCGTGCATTTCAAAATATTAAAGCAATCAGGTTCTTGAAATCTCTTGAAAATAATTGTATTTTTTTATATATTTCACCGCACAACACTCTCACTCGCACATCGCCGCGTAATCATCATTTATTTAATACTGTACAAGTGTGTAATTCCGTTGTGAAGCTTCACTTTTATTATTATTATCATTGTACACGAAGGCCTGTCCGTGGGTTTATTTGGTTCGGCTCGCGCTTTATTTTCTTTTAATTATGTACTCCGATCACAAATGTGGGTCAATTAACAAGCAGCCATATTGGGTCCCATCGAATCGATGTCGAAAAATCGGCGATGTCGGGGTTAAACAATGCCGCAGACGTGCTGCCAGGACAATGCAAACAATTGTCAGAATTTAAATGCAGCGGCAGTGGACCGCAAAGTTTCCACTCGCTATCCGGTTCAATGTTCGCATAAATTATGCCGCCATATGTCAGACATCTGGCGAATAAAGGCTCTGGCTCAGAGTTTCGATTTTCCGCAGTTTTTCCGGATCTGCCAAGTGCCCGGCGTGTGTGGGTCGCTATTTTACGAGTTTTTGACGGGATGCCAACAGCTTTCGTCTAATTGCCACTGGCATTGTGCCAAATGCAGGGCTATATTTAATACTTGTCACTAAATGCTGCCTAAAACCAACCAAATCAGGCATAAACTGCACTACCATGGAAATCCGTCATCAATCATTACACCATCAAGTGTCAATCACTGAAAATTTCTTGGGATGTAATGAACGATATGATAATTTTCGATTATTATCGTTAGCCCCCAATAAGGTTTCTTTAAAAGACAGACAGGGTACAAAAATTATTGTTATTATAAGGATTTAGATAAAGTAATCATTTCAGTAGTTGTTAAATGTTATAATTAATAAATAAATCAAATGTATTTTTTATACATTTGCTTTGCAAATTTTAAAACATAGTAGGCCTTTGATACTTGTCAAACTTAGTTTGGTATGCCTTGGGTAGAACTCGGTCAGACACATATATTTACTCGTCGAAGTCGGATCGTACGTTTTCGATTGCCCAAAAATTCATAGCAAAATAGAGCGATTTTCTCGTATTAACATTATTCCAAATCTTCGCGATATGGATCGAGAAGGGGTCCGCCGAGCGGCAGCAGTACTTCGACCCAACGAGAATCGTCTACATGCTATACAGGGTGAGGCATTGAAAAGGGATCTTAAAGGAAAAATAAAATGATACCTTTTGAATTTCAGAAGAGGAGGAACCTGCTGTGGAAGTTGGTCCGCCGCTTTCAAAGGGTTCCCAAGTCAATCCAGGGGACTTGCAGCTACAGAAGGGAATTTTGGGAGGAGATGACAAAGGAGCCACTGAACTTGGTGCGGGACTTCGAGCTCGTCGCGAGAATAGACGCCTGGCACCCTTCTTGTGCAACGTGTGCCACCAGTATGTCCGTGGTGGCGTGATCACCATCTGTGGTCACCTATTTTGCTGGGCCTGCCTGTGGCCCAAAGTGGGTGACACTAAAATTCCAGAGTGCCCACGCTGTCGGCACCGCTTGGTCCTGTACGAGGACATCATGCCCTTCCACGGCGAGGGACCCCAGGCCGACGAGGCTGATAACGAAGTCCTTGCCGAGCCGGGTTTGGTGCCCCGCCCCACGGGTATGTACCTCTGCGACCCGAAGATCCCCAACTGGTTCGTGGTCAACGATCCCAAGAATGTACCAGAACAAGTTTTCGATCAGAACACCAAGGAGAGGGATTTCTGTTCCGTGGTGATGCGTCTTCCTCAGGAGTATCCGTGGATCGGGACTACGCTGCGATTCTTCAAGTATTTCCAAGTGGGCTGCGCCATCATCGCGTGCCTGATGTGGTGCATCTTCTCAGTGGCCACGGGGCCAAGTGCTTTATATTTTCCTAAATTGTTACGATTTCTTTGATTATTAACGGGCGGATAAGTGACCTGTAAATGTTTGGCTAGGTTTCTAGCTTTACAATAAAATTATGTAAATGTAGATATTACCTTTTTGAACTTACTTACTTTAGTATTATGAAGATTATTAAGGTCTAAACATTTTTGTCTATTTCAGGTCGGTATTTAATCCATAAAGTTTCTCCTGCAATTTTTATCATTATTTAAACCAAAATAAAGACAACTTGCAACCAAGACATTTTCTTGCAACTTGGAGGAAACAGAAATATTTTATGAGCTCTCGGGCCAAGTCAAAGTTGTGCATGCAACATCGCAAAGTCCTGGAGGGTCCTGGCCAGCTGAAACAATAAATTCCAGGGGCAGTTAGGAACAAAGAAGCCAGACAAAGTCGGTCTGAAAGTAAGCAGCTTTAAAGTCACAGACTTAAAGTGCTTTCTTCTGAGACTCATCAACAGAACACTTCGGCTAATGAACCATGGACAACCGAATATTCGGGGAATTGGGTTAGCCCAATTGAGTTGTTACCCGGCTTTTGTTGGGGCGAACACTCGATGACAGCTGCGTGGGGGAATTGCGTGCTAGCCTTGGTGGCTCGGCTTTGGGCAATATTTATCATTAATTAAGCGAGTGCCGAGAAATCCGTAAGGATATATATCCGAAAGCCAAGCGTCAGAAGTTAATGCGACGGCTACGTGGAGAAAGCGACACGGACATCGCAAGGAAGCGGATGCAGATGCATCCTGTGATTCAGCTTTATTATTGCAGCTTAAATGGCATTTGCAGGCAGCGCATGTATGTGTGTGTGTGTTGCGAAAATGGAAAATCCTTTCTCCGCCTTTGCGAGGACATGACAATGTCCGCTGCAGCATCACAGCAAAATTGATGCGTTTTAAATTGCATTAAATTCCATGGAACGTAATCCCAGCCACTCGCACACAGACACGCTCCCGAAGGCTAGCTCTGTGTGCAAATTAAATTAATTTTGTTTGCCTTGTTCTCGGGGCGTCTGGCGTTATGACGCTAGCTCCGAGTTACGTGTATCGATCCGCCAACTTTCAGCTTTAGTTCCAGCCCCGTTCTGGCCAATTTCAGCGGCGTCTGCGATCGGCGTCTGCAGCCAGAGCAAATATTTAGCCGTAATTAATTTAAATCAGCAATGGCTGCAGGAAATGCCAAATGCCAGCGGCTGCTGCTGCTGCTGATGCCTCTGGTGGCATCATTAAAATCTTCCGCCCGCTGAACAACAAAGCGCTAGTAAATTGCTCGTCACGAACGCTACTTTGTTCCCTTTCGCCTTTTGCCTTTAGCCCAAATAGTACCGCGCTCTCGCAGACATTTCAACTTAAATTATGCTGCCACGTAACACATGACGTATACGTAATTACGGAAGCCAACGGCCGATCTAGTGCAGGACACCTGGCTAGATTCCAGCCAAATTGAGTTTTTCATTTAAAAAAGGTCTTGATATTTCAGAATATATTAATCAGGAAAAGTTATTGGGAATATTATTTCAAATTAAGTAAATTTACCAAGTTTAGGAACTACATTTTTAAGAGAAGCCATAATATAAATGCTTAGGAATTTATTAAATGCAAAGTATTAATGTTAATAGTTTTTAAGTAATCTTAAAACACTCGAATAGAAAATATATTCATATCCAAATATTTATATTGCTATTTTTATAAATGTTATACTAACTGACTGTATCTAATTCCGCAATTGCCAGAACAGTTGGTTGGTGAGATCACGGCCATTCATGCTACCCAACTGTCGTAATTTCCATTTCAATTATAGTATCTGCTGCCTAGACATTTAAAAAGACCGCCACACACGACAAGCGTCATTTAGGGACATCCACATCCACATCCACCTCCGCAACCCCATTCCCACCCTACCACACTCACATTCACTGCCAGGCTGCAACGTTGAATGTGGCTTTTATTCATTACATAATTACTGTTGTGTTTGCACTGTGGCAAGCAGCAGTCGCCCCTGGGGCAAAGGTTATTGCAACCAGCAGTGATTATGAGTAATTGTCAAGGTTAGTTGGGAATCTCGTTAGCCTGGGGTGACAGTCATTGCATGTGGATGTTGAACAAACTAGTAAGCCATTCACTGCAGTTGTGAATTATGGGGAGTTAACAAAATATTTGATGTAATTTTAATAGATGAAAAATAAGATATTTATTTTTAGAGGCATTTTGGCATTAACCCAGGTTCTGTTGACCAACGGTACGAGCTGAAGAGGTGCTGAACTTTTGGAGTGCAACTACTTCCAAGTGGCCATAAATAAATGCTCTTCACAATAACAACTCCCTGGCAGACACAATGCATAATGGTGGTGGTGGCAGGCCAGACAATCCCCACCCTCTTTCCCCTCTTCCCTTCCCATCACACACATTTGTGCAAATAGCATGCACTATGCACGTTTCCGTTTCCGCTCTTTCGGGCTTACAGGCGTTGCAATTGTCGCTTGTTGCAACGACAGCCTCCGCCATTTTGTCTCCGTGTGTGTGTGTCTGCAACTGTGTGGGTGTGCCACAGTCTGGCGCACATGGCGCATACTTTATGCATAACAAATGGCTGCTTAGTATATTGTTTAATTTATCAAGCATGAATTATTTATGTCGATCTGCGTGTCGTCCAATGATATAAAGTGCAATGCAAAACTTGAACTTTGCTGCAGAGTTTGTAGCTTTTATGGTGCACTGTAAAGTAAAAAAGAAAGGATTGTTTTTAAGGGGAATGAAATAAACTGGTCAGCATTATTAAGCTTAATAAATTTTACCAGCCTTAATATCATGAAGTAAGTCTCCTACCTTACTATATAAATATTTATTGTATATGTTAAAGAATATTTTTTCAGTGCCCAGATATCCTTTCCTCTACTTGTAGGCTTGTCGAACAAATCAAATTTATGTGTTACAAAGTACAGAGGCTTGCATTCCCAGTAGTATTTTCCGTTTAGGTAAACTCCACTTGGGTAATAAAATATTGTATTGTTGCGGCCGCCAGGACCAACTTAGTTCAAATTGTTGAAATTCAAATTTCAATTGAATTCGGTGCGTTGTGCTGGTGTCAAGCTCTAATTTAGATTTATTTCGGTTGATTAATTTGCATTCGAGTATGTGGCAGTTGATAATTGCAGGCAAAGCTCAGGCGGCCAAAAGTTTCAGGCACTTTTGAAATAAATGGGAAATGGCTTTCCCAGATATTGTGTGAACACAATGGCACGTCTTCTGCAGGGGGGCACAAAAATGGAACTGGAGAACACAAAAGAAGTGCACGACATTGTGTTGAGTTCCACGGGGCTCTGAGGTTGGGGTTCATGTTCAGTCGGGTAGTATCATTCTCCGGGCTCACTTTAAGCCATATTGTGTACACTGTACAGATAACGTGTCTATTCAGACGAGAACTGATACGGAGCCAAAACACAGAGAGTGCGGCAGCCAGGAGCGGCAAACTTGACTTCCTTGTGGCTTGAGTAACAAGTTGGGCATAATGCGGAAGCTAAAAACTGTTGCATACTTTTATGCGCTGCCACAAGCCATCGGCATCAGGACCCCAGAAATGCCACAGTTCCACCCCCTTTCAGTCCCTTTCAGCCCCGAAAGGACGACGCTTATCACCGCAAAAGTTTTTACCACTTTAGAGTCGGTGTCTGCTGCCGAGAGACACTTTGCCGTCGAGCTGTCAGCGCTCGAACTTTGCAGTCGGGCGGGACAGGAGCTTTAAAAACTACCCAGGACATTACATACAGGGCAGACAGTCGAACATTCGCCGGACCCAACTTTTATCAGTTTTAATTGCCATTAACACTAATTACAACTGTCACATATCAAAGGGGCCAAGGCAAGTCAAAGAGTCATATTCAATAATCAAAGAGGTCTCGATTAAAATGTCACATACATGAAATTTAATATTATACAAGGACACAAATATAATAAAATCAATAACAAAGCGGTTTCAATTTTAGCTTCATTATTAAGAGAGAAATCGAAAAACTAGAAAATTCAGCTGACTGATTTTAATTGGATTAGTTTTTGCAGCTGTTTTACATAAATTTTAATTCTTTGAAACTAAATTCAGCTCAGTTTAGCAGCCATATTGCAGAAATCAGTGAAGCCAGAGCCAGGCGATAGCCACTAATTTTCAGGGAAACTTTTTCATTTTTTAAGGACCCTGCAATTGAACAGCCAGTGAGTGGAAAATGTGGAATATCCCGTGGGGCCCGCGGCGCCAGCATTTAACTTTTAATCCATCAAAATGCTTTCGACATCGCCGCCTGTCGATTTCAATGAGAAAGGGAAAATTGTTTTAGCAAGCAGACAAAAAAAATTGCAAACCAAAAGCAGGCAAATAACAAAAAGAAAGGAAAATCCAGACAGTCTGTCTGCGGCATCCCATCGAAGCGCCAAACGCTTTTCATTATTCTTTATACGTTTCACATTTTAAGCAAATGAATACTGGTTCCCCAGAGACAAGGAGAGTCGAGAGTTGTTGAAATCTACGCGTAATTGTGTAAAGATCCCCACTCGTTAGCCCCTTTTTTTCGAATAAATTGGATTATAATTTATTTTAATTGGCAAAAGCCAAATGCAGGCATAAGACAAACAAACCCTGCAGGGGCAACCCAAATGAAAATTAGCCACAAAATTACGCAGTCTGATGCCGCTTTCATTAGTCTAATTGTGACTCTTGGGCGGGCGTGCGTACATTTCGACCCATCTCAGTGATTAGGCCAGGCCTTTACCTTTTGGCCAGAAGTCGGCACGAAACCATGCGTGACAGTGTTAAACTGTGAGCCCGAATCCTAGGCCAAAGTCTCCGCTTTGGCCCCATATGTGTGGCTTTTAATTAGAGGCACACAATGCCAGTCGACCTTTCGCCCCGCATATTAACATATGAACGGCAACTAAAATGTCAGCGGGCTGACTGCAAAGCCGGTGATAAAGCCCACCGGATACGATACCAATGTCCAAGGATACTCGTGGCCCACCGAAATCCTGGCCACAATTAAGCAACTCGGCCAGGTGTTCCGTGTGGTGTGGT